GATGTTTCTTTAGATGCAGAACATTTCAGTGCAAAAATTCAAAATTTTATACTCAAAAATTTAAATTATGTTCTGGATATCTATTGCACCGAAGCAGTACCATTGGCCCTGTGTGCACATAACTCCATCAAACCCAAATCTGCAGAGGACTTGCAAAATTCTGTCCCAAGGTCAAAAACCAGAAAGCCAAACCTGCAGTTCTGAAAGAGGAGGGGCACTGCTGGCCCACAGCGTGAAGCGTCGGTCTCCCGTCTCCATATCCCACATCGAGACTTCATTGTTGCCTTGAACAGCTATGGAAAAGTCATTGACAACAGTTACACCAAAAGCATGGTCCGGGGGTGGTGGTGGTGGTGGTAATATTCACAGCTTCATAAAAAGGCTTGCTCTGGCATTCTAGTCTTTCAGTATTTCTATTTATTTATCAAATAAAATAAATTATTTTTTTTAAGTTAAATGAGTGAAAAACAAAATGACAGCTGCTTCTCAGCATTCATTGCGACCTGTTCTTGTGAAGACCAAGGGAGCATGCCCTCACTCCTCACATACCCTTATTCTGCCTCAGTGTTTACAATACTCTCCCACCTCTTCCTTATGATCAGCAGAGGGAGAGAGCTCCATCCCTTAGGAATCGGACAGAATAATCCAGCTGCCAGGGAGAATCCTGAAGTGCTGATTCTTCAGGGTTTTCCCCGGGGTTGCCATGTGGTTCTGCTCACGCTGACAAGCCTGCCAAATGCACCCACCCAACCACAAGCTATTTCCCCTCTCTTTCAAAGCCACAACCCACAATCATGCAGACTTTTGAAGTCCCTCTTCTTCCACAGGCCTTTCCATTTATACACCTTAGTCTGTGTCGCTCCACCTAACGAGGGGGCCACCGTCTCCTCGTGAACTGAGCTGCAGCTGAACAGAACCACTGTCTTTTGCTGCCTGTCCTTCCATGACAACATGGAGGCTCCCAGGTGAGCTTCCCTGCTTACAGTTCTTAAAATAACACTGACCACTGCCAGATGCAAATGCTATGAATGTAGAGGCCCTTACGGTAGTATATATTACATTAAACAGAGTTCGGCAAGTAGATAAATTGGGGACCACCTGTAAGGGGGTGGGCACACCG